GTTGGGATTGACGACAAGTTGAACATCCTCGTTGAGATCACTTTAGACCGTCCTCATGTGTTTCCCATACAGACCCCTCTATGCGTGTGTGAGCTTGTCCTGGATGGACGGGCTGTCGATGTATAAATGACACTCTTTGAGGATGACAATTGTTTGTCACGATTCTGGGCTAACTCGCAAGAAAGAAGAGCAGATTCCCCACATCGTTTCGCTGCAGGCGGTTTTCTGCCTCAAGCTCTTCTCAAAGCCAGGCTCGGCGCAAACTGTGCAAACTCGGCCAGAAGTGGCAGTCGGCCGAATCCCATCGCCATTTAATTCATCCACCAAAGCCTCCTCAACCGGTCCAAATGAGGAAAGGTTGCTGGATTGCAACACCAGGCTCACTAAATAGAGCTCGCTTCATTCACTGACGTCCTTCTACCACATACAGATTGGCAAAATGGCGAGTTCGAACATGGACGTTAAGCGATTGGGGTCTCCATAGTCGGTGGAGTTCGTCAAAACTTGATTAGTGGAAACTTGAGTCAATCAGAAGGCACCGAGAATTGCCAACACTCGACCGGACCGTTGTCTCGAAAGGCCCGTGGGGCCAGGTTTCTCTTTTCCGATTCTATCGTGGCGCACATGTCACTTTCGACGATACAATGAAATGCCTGTTTAAACTGGCTCGGAGGCACAGTATGAGAGAAGAGGACTAAAGTGTAGGATTAGTTGAGATGGGGCGACATTTTGATTCAGGGTGAAATAGCAGAAAGCGATTACGCATTTATAATTAGCATTATAGTTCTAATCATTTACTTTTTTAATATGCTTGAGACTGATTGCAATCAGACTATAGTCTATTGTTCCGTTTACCGCAGAAATGCTGGATATTCCGTATTTCTCATAAAATAGGCTATATTGCGCTGAGTAAAGACATATCTAGCTACTAAAACAGAATGAATCTAATTTCGATATCATTGCTTGTTGATCTGGCACATATGGACTCGAACATGTTATAAGTGTAAGCCAAGTCTGTGAATGAAGTTGTTACAAAAGTAGTTCTTTTAATTACTGAATATAATAAACACTTCATCATATTAAAGCGCCAAAGAATTTAA